TCTTAAGTCCTGCAACATATGGTCCTCTGAGAGATAACAATCTATGTTCAACACATTTGCTTCCACGTGCTTTGCTTAAACATAGAAGTCACAGCTTGAATAACCCTTCACGCAGGTCTGTTCTGTAGCTGCATATTATTATAATGATTTTTACTCTAGATATTGGGTAGACACATTGTAGCTAATCTAACCCATTACATTCTGGTTTAGTATACAGGCCGGTGGATCAGAAGTTCTGTGTGGGACCCATGCCTTCTCCTTCCCAGCTATGCAGTATCCCATGTTCAACAGATTGCTTGCTCTCCACTTGGTCCGCCTGGGGACCTTGTGTTTATGAGAATTGTCTGGATTATCAAGGAAGAAAAGGTAACTACTTGTAAACATGAAAAAAAAAATATAGGTAGCAAATATATAAACAATACCTAAAAATGTATTGGAATATATTGGAAAATATACAATGACTATATTTGCATAGAATTGCTATGCCATGAGTTTAATTTGGCCTGATAAGTAAACTACTGGAACTATTGGAAATCGTTTTATTTTGGTGTTATCTGTTTGGTGTAGTGGTGTATTATTAAATACATAATGTTTATGTTTTTTATATTCAAGTTTGTTCACATTGTTTCTTTAGTACTATGTCAAATTTCAACTATGTTGGTTATTTGTAATCATAAATCTACATTTATAAAAATACTTAGATTTTCTCAATTGCATTCAGGCAAGTTTTCACTCCGTATTAACCTGCTTACTGTATGGCAACATAAATATTGATATGAAACTGATAATTAAATAGGCACTAACGTATGTTGTAATGTTTGGTGTAAGGATGAGGAAATTGCTAAGAAATGATTGGGAATGACTGGTTTATGGCTTAAATCAGAAAAAAACTGTTCTGAAATGTAAATATTTTAAAATGTGCTAAAGTCATATTACCACTTCTAGGATTGAAACTGAGACGGAGGCATGTTATTGTCGAGTCAACTGGTGACAGCGGTAGTTGTCCACATTTAGTTGAATCAATCCCTTGCGATGACCCTGTGTGCTATAAATGGGCAGTTTCTGGAGAATTACATTGTGTTCCTGAAAATGGAGAATGTGGACATGGGAGGTACCAAGTGAACACAAGCTGTCAAGATGAGAATGGTGAGTATTTCACCCTCTTACCCTAACACCGCAAGTAAGCTAAAAGGCAAAAGACCTTCACTCATCTAGTTCCCAGTCCCACATTTAACTAAATTATCTTGCTTCCTTTCATTTTTCAGGTGTAAACAATCTCTCCCCATTTATTTATTTGTCATTATAATCAAGATACCTTATACTCTCATGAAAGTGCACTTAGGTGTAACGCACTTGTGTATTTCTACCACCATTCTGATGTACATGTCTAATCACAGTTCCATGGTCATCAGCAATTCAATAATGCTTTTCAGAAAGCATGATCCATTGAATTACTTTTCTGCCATTTGCTACTAATTATTCTGCAAAACGTTCTGCAGAAGGTCTAAAATAAATGGATATTCCTCAAAGGACTTTTAGACCATTTTATAGCATATACTGTACATAGTTTGGCTGTTTGAAATGTTGTACTCATTGTTGGGATATAGACATACATGAAAAGAATGGTCAAACATGTTATTAATTATATATATGCTAAGACTATAGCTTCTATTTCCAACAAAGATCTGCTCATACTTTAGTCTTTCCAAAGTCAATAAAAGGCGTACGATTGTGTTGGCTTATAACAGCATCATGCCATCCTGGGAAACTCACAAATTTTAATGTACTTTTCATTGAACTTTCCATGGTTAAATTCTTTGATATAATGTTGTTTGATGTTAAAAGCACAGTTTGTAGATAAATGTGCGTGGCAATTATATTTCTGTTTATCAGTATAAATCTTCTTTATACTTTTACCGGTGCAATCTCTGTTCTGATGCAGCCAGTAACAATGTGTATCCTTCGGAGACTTACATATAGACAATTACAATGTTGAATTATTGTTCAGCTAATTTTCTAGCTATTGCTAGATATACAAAGTCTTGAATTTTCATTTAATGTCACATCAAGATGGGTTTATAAAATGTATTAGTTCAAGGTTACGCTATTGATTAAAATTTGCAATGGCAATACTTTGGAACACTGATTTCTAAAACCTTGAAAACCAATTTATATACAAACATTATCTGATTAGTTCCAATCAACCAGGTATTCAAATAATATATTAATTTCATTCAACGGTATAAACATTCAGAGCTGAATTACTAATAGTCCTCAGATATTTGTCCAGTTGAATTTAAGTATATAATGTTTATTAGCAAAATCATTAATTAATATAAAAAACAAAACAATACAAATGAAATAATTTGGGAAGGTAGCTCAAAGTCATTTTTACCTATGTTAGGATAAAATTTTTCATGTTTTAAAAAGCGTTTTTCTTATTTATGTATATTTATTTGATCCAAAGTTAATTTTGCAATAGACCTCATGTCTCTTTTTGACTACAATATCTTGAAACACAAGGTCAGAACCTGCAATGAAAGCATGAAAGATAATTAAATAAACTATATGGAGAAACTAGCTACAGTGGTTATTTCCATTCTGCCTTGCACATTTAAAAAAAACCCCAGCTTTTATTTGTATACACTGCAGATTCCATTCTCGACAGGTAAATAAATCGGTTACAGAACCGAGGTCAACTAAAAAGTGCTATTTAGTTTGGTAATTATTTCCGCAAAACCCATTTGGTGCTAAGAAATACTATAAGTATCTCTGCTAGTTAAAGCATTCAATGCTATTATTTAAATACAGATTGTTAATATAAATTGTTATTCTGTCTAGGTCGAGGTCATAGACAACGAGCATTATTATTAGATTAAATGATGTGAAGCTCGGTGATACACAATGCAAATTGCTGTGACTTATTGCTGTGGAGTCTATTAAACTTTATTAATGTTTAACTCTGTAATACACTAATTACATTGCACAGTGCAGTGGGTTTTATGGATTTGTAGATGTTAAATACACTCATACAAACGTCATATTCCTGAGATTTTATTTCTGTAGAGCTTTGTGATATAATCATACACACCATTCTAACTAAGGTTGTACAAAAGAATCAGGGCAGGGTACAAAACATGCAAAGAGGAAAATTTGTGTACCAAAAAAAAAAAATCTTTCCTTTCAGAGGAAACATGCTAATTCATAATTATTTCGATATTTCTGGAAGAAATCAATCATTATAATCAATTCTGAGTATCTCTTCCTGAAACAGTCTCTTGCCAAAATCTAAATGAATTTTCTGAATTATTTGTTTTCTGCAACCAACTATAACAATGATAAAATATTTGAAAGCTAGTTTGTACAAGGTTCTTATTAACATTTTCATGTTAACATTTGCCATTGTTTGTCTATTGTTTGTTGTTACAATATTATATTAAAATTATAAAGCACTGCAAATTATGATGCCACTACTACTAATCATAATACAATACTACATCTCAGATACTACTACTGTTAATATTGTTGGCTCCTTTTCTTGTTCCTAGTTTAGGGCTGTTGTTATAGGGGCACTATAGGCACCCAGACCACTTCATGTCATTGAAGTTGTCTGGGGGCAATGTCCTTGTCCCAGTCAGTACTGCAGTGTAAGTTGTTGCAGTTTTAGAGAAGCTGCAATGATCACCTTGTAGGACTAAGACTGCCTCTAGTGGCTGTCAATCAGAGAGCCACTAGAGACACTTCCCAGATGTTAACCAACTCCAGACTGTCTTAATGACGCTGGACATCCATAATGAACATTCGGCATCATTACACCATGCTTACCTTTGGGGAGGGCCTAATGCACTTGCAATGCTCGCCGCACATGCACATTAACCCACCTTCGGATGACATCTGGGGAGGTGGAGTACCACCCAACGCCGAGGGACATCTGCGCTGAAATTGGGTGAGTAAATAACGTTTTTTATTAACCCTTTTCATGCTGAAGTGGGGAGGGGGTGGGGGTGAGGACGCAGGTGAAGAGGGGACCAGAGGGCACTATTGTGTTTTGAATACAATTTTGTATTCCTAACACTATAGATTCCCAGCTAAACATTAGCTGCGGTATACAGATGTGTCACAGTTATTTATGTGCTCCTCTAACCACACATCTGTTGGACACTTTTTGTTTCACATTGGAAAAATAGTATCAAGATAAATTAAGACTTCCATTTTTATCATGTAAACAGTGGAATTGCCATGAGGTAACAATCTGAATGAGACATCTAACCTACCTTCCAAGTCTAATTTAAATTATCAGATTTTAGCCCAGTTGGAATTGTGACTTTTTACGTGAGGAACACGTTAGGTTAATTAACATACATCCCTCGGTGGCTGAAAAATGTGTTTTAATGTTAAGTAGGTCTCCTCTCTGCAAAATGCAGACACAAAATAGCTATGTTTTCCTCAACATTCCAAACCATTAAAATGCAGATGAAAATTCACTAACAATGAAAATGCAATCGCACTTTGTAATAATATGCATTTTATAAAACTAAAAAAATACAATTACATTTAAGCAAGGGATATACAAGTCTATATGAAAATTAAATCCATCATTTAATCTCTTTCCTGAATGCTAACAGACTTGTTAGAAAATGTTTTGATTTTCTATTAAAACAATTTAAAGATATAACCCCCATCTTTACCTGTCCATTAATACCTTAACATATAGTAAATGGTTGGTTGATTTGTTGCTGATGTAGACCCATATGTCAACAATTACATGAGAGCGGAGAGCTGGAGAACAATCAGACACTCAGTGCTGTAGTTGCTGTGATTATTCTTCCTACACTTTGGTAACAGAATGACCAATGTCACTATTTTCTGATCTTGAGGCAATAAACTCAATATGCTTCATGAAGAGGTGTTCACTAGTGATGTCCCGAACGGTTCGCCGAACGGTGTGCGAACGGTTCTCCACGAACGGTTCGCCGCGGACTCCAGTCAGCAGACAAATTCCAGCCAATCAACAGCAGACCCTCCCTCCCAGACTCTCCCACCTCCTGGACAGCTCACTAAGAATGCAGCTTCAAAATGGATGCTGTCCAGGAGGTGGGAGGGTCTGGGAGGGAGGGTCTGCTGCTGATTGCCCAGAATGTGTCTGCTGACTGGAGTCCATGGCGAACCGTTTGCGGTGAACCATGGCGAACCGTTCGCGAACCGTTCGGGACATTACTAGTGTTCACTATTTGGGAAGTGTTTCTGAGCAGGGATACTTGTCTGAAAGTGGGGCAGGACAGAGTATATTATTGTATTGTAACACCCACAAACCCAGGTTATTGGTGGCACATTTGAAGCTAGGATGGAGTGCAGTATTTAATGAACATCTCCTTAAGCAATAAAATATATAATGCATTGCCGTGATGGAATATATTTATTTTACACAAAGATATATTATGGTTTCAAGTGAAACTATTTTGTCAGACTTACTTTAAGAAAGTAGAAAATGTGAAAAAAGTGCATAAAATGACACTACAAAATGACAATAATAAGTAGAAGAAAATGATGAAAGCCAAGATACAGACATTTCGATGGTCCACTGGCCCATGCAACGTGTACAATAAAATAACAGGATTTAGTTTGACATAAATTGTGTTAGTTAAAATAAATGGAGCTCTTTAAAGATACTAGGTTAAAGAACTGAGCCTCTGGTCATTTAAGTCAATCTTCATGCTAACCACCAATCTTCAACCTATTTTAGGAAATGGGTTTCTGTCACTTTCGGTCTAGATTCTTTTTGTCCAGGAATGGTTTGTTGCAGTAGCCCACTTGTCATCAATTTGCCCTAACATCTGATGCGAGCCTTGTTAATCTAGTGCAATGTCAGAGCTGAAATACAAATATACACAAAGTGGAGTATCTTACATGTAATTAAAAACGTAAGGTATAATACATTCTTAAGGAGTATAGTCCTGTAAATAGAGAAAAGAAAGACAAATCCTAGGGCAATATTGTCCGTACAATGAGATTGGAGTGAATAAAACTATGCTATTGCACTTACAAGTAGAGAGTCAGTAATTTCTCGGCTCAAGATTTGAGCGTAGTGTGATTTTGTGGGGGTCCCACTCCCTCTTCTGTGTGCTGCGATAACTTCAGCTTATTGATTGTTGTCACAAATTCATTGGTAAATTAAAGTGCTTTATTAACCATAAAGTGTACAAAAATATGAAAACAATCAGAAATAGAATAAAAAAGTTCTTACAGTATTAGTAGTAAGTCCTTGAAATGTGCAATGTGCAAAACATGTTTCGCCTCTCTTGGAGGCTTCCTCAGTTGCTGCATTTGAATTTCAAGTCTGTCCTCTTTTAAAGCCGTTTTAAATTACTGCTTCCAAATGTTTCGAGTTTCGACACTTCCGGTTCCGGTCTCGTGTCTCACTGTTGGAACGCGACGTCTCTTACCCTCTGACGTACTTCCGGTTCCCTGTCCCGATATTGGAACGCAACCTTGAGTTCCACTGTACAAGTCTGTGGGAGTATTTCCTTCCTTTTGGAACACATCATTGTGTTCCACCGCTATGCACTGTGGTTTTCTGTTCATATAGTCCATGAAAGGCTCTCATACCATAGGGGGAAATGGAAGAAAAATTAGGAGAAAACATCATGTTATGGGGGATATATTAAACATATATTTGACATTAAAATGAATATTACAGAAGGAGTTCCTATTGAAAGCAACATACATATAAAAAAATAGAAGAAAAAACAATAACCTTGGGATTAAGTAGGGCTTAACCCTTAAGACTGAATAATAGAAACTAATAAGGATGGTGAACTCCACACTTGGGAGAGAAGCCCACTTTCCTCTAATTAAAAAATTAATATGGAGTAATAAATGTAGTTTTGGAAAAAAAACACATTAAAACTCCACTATATAAAAGTAAAAGTATTATTATATCTCAATAACCCATAACCAGTATGTCATGGTACCGTTATAGGTTTTTCTTTAAAACATAGGAATGCTGTAATTTATAGAAACATAGAATGTGACGGCAGATAAGAACTATTCGGCCCATCTAGTCTGCCCAATATGCAGTTATATTGTCCCCTAAAAGTATAAGTATTAAAGATGCGTTCCAACATCGAGACAGAGAACCAGAAGTACACCGGACGGTAAGAGACATTGCATTCCAAGAGTGAGACGCGAGACCGGAACTGGAAGTGGCCTTAAGGATTTATTATACCTTACATTCTTAATGACATTTAAGATACTCCGCCTTGTGTAGAGTATGGTGTTAGAGTATCAGTTATTGTTTGTAATACTCACTGGAACTTTGTATGTATACTGTTTAGAGCTGGCATGACTTTCTTGGCTCACGTAACTCATATTTATTGAAGTAGGCGAATATATGTCATTAGGGGCACTTGCTGTTGTGGTGACCTGACTGGGATTCAAACCTATTTTTTCAGTTCTAAGGCAGTGACCACTGCCCTAACCAACTGGTTGGGGGTCTATTTAAATATATCAGTGTGGTTTTTTTTTGGATGCCCACTAAAATGTGCATACATTTTACTACTGGGGTACTTTACAATTACTCAAATTCTTTGGGATATGTGTGGACATAGCGTGGAAAGTCTGTCAACTTCTATATAATTTACTGAACTGGTATGAAACATTTTTACCGTCCTAAATTGTTGGGTTTTTTTGTTTTAAGTTCAATCTTTAATGCATTCAAGAAATGCAAACTATAAACACAGATTTTTATAAGCTTAGACATATTGAAGTTTTTCGAAGTAACAACAATATAAAAAAGGTCTAAAACTATTTTTCATGCTTCCATTCATACCGAAAGCAATCATTCTATATCATATCAAAAGTCAGAGTTTGAGGGAAGGATAAATATGGAACAATTGTGTTTTATGTTAAAATATTTATTTATCTTGGAAAGAGGATAATCTAAGGCATATCGGGAGGGCAAGGCATACTAATCTTTAGCATTATTTCTGACATTGGGTTAATGGTGTGTAAATATAGCCCTATTATTTTATTTATTTATTCAAGTTCAAAGAAGACTAATGGCTCAAGAAATGCTTATTCTGTAATGTCAAATGCAAAACACCATGTGTATTTTCATTAATCATTAGGTTATTGTGGTTTTCTGGGCAAGAAATGTTGTAACAATATCTCTAGTGGTTTAAAGAGTATTGTATGCAGCCATTAAACTACCAAGTAAGCAGAAAATTCTAATCCATTATTAATAAAGATGGAAGCAATGTTTTTTCTGGCATCTCTGATACAGGGGCCACATTGTGTTATAAAATATATATATGCTTTTTTTTTTGTTCCTGGTAGCAGAAAATTGAAAGACGTAATTGGCATATTTATAGGACCTGCCAAAAAAACTCACATCCTACATCAAAAGGGCCACAACAATCTTTCTGTAGACAAAGGGAGTTGCTGTTAACAGTAGATTTAAACATTTTATATTACTACATTGTTTTAACATCATATTAGAGATGAGTGCATATGTTGGACTTTTTTTCACTAAACTTTTTGTTCAATCCAGAAAAATAGTTTAGGTACTGCTTTGCAGTAGATCATATTTGTTTATGACATTAAATGGGCGAAAACATTGCCTTTCCCACAAAAAAATGAAATAACTCTAAATATACCTTCCATCTATTTCCATTTAATTCAAATTAAATAATAATGATAATTATTAGGAAGGCCTGCTGATCTACAAAGAAGCTATCGGTGTGGCTCACTCCTGCACCCCCAATTTTGGTAGACATGGGAGGAGGAAGCTTCATTGGTCATCTGGTGATCCTTAAAAACTAGATTGAAACCTCTCAATGATCTTCTATGCTCTCAGAAAAGTGCTTGTTAGTACCCCTCAAGTTAGACCTGGATAGTGGAGTGCCTCTTTAAGCAAGGAATAGCAGGTTAAAGGAACTTTCACTATATAGTTTATAAGTGTATAGATTGTATAAAAGTATATAGATGTGTATAGATTGTTGTTCACGGATACCTTGAAAGTAAAACAATTTACTTTTATTAAATTTTTGGTCTTCTTTACTTTTTTGCATCCTTAGAAGGATAGTGGAGATTAGAAGTGTTATATATTTTATTGTATCAATATATTACACGGGCGACTATTTCTGTTACATAACATATGTATGCTTAAATCTCTGTATGACCCGAGCTCTCTCTCCTTTCTTCTTCCAAATTCATTGGCCTCTCTACCGTCCACTTATAGTTAGTGGCTCATGTATAGCATAGAGGGGGAGAGTGCAGCAATTATTAGTACTCTGCACTAAACATATTTGCTTCTCTGCTGGGTGAAGATCACTACTGGAGCCATAGGGAACTTAAATTGTGCTTAGTTTGGCAAAATCTAATTAGTTTTACTTTGTAATGTCAAACATAATGTAACCCATGTATAGATAGGGCCTGAGGATAACGATTATTAAATGATAGGTTATTAGTTCCTGCTCACTTTGTGCATGTTCACATCTTTTGGGACTGCATCCCTTTTAGCTTTTTTACTCTGTTTCACAGCTGTTTCACTCTTGCTTGACATTTGTTACTATGTGTATACTTTGACTGGTAGATATTGTACCTTTGATCGGTATTGTGAATGTATTTGTGATTCTACCTCCCCGGAGGGTGGAGAACACATTTGTGCTGCTGCTTTTGAGGCGTATTTGGAGAAAATAAATATCTTCTGAAAAGTCCTCTTTTCCAGAATATTTCTTTGGTAGTGTTCACAAAGTATTCTGTGAAAATGGTATCTGGCTATTCTGCTAACCGTTGAGAATATAGCACTATATTTAAAACCTCTGCAAAGAAGAAGGTATACTTACATTATCATCCTCCCTATATTTACATAAAGTATTGTTCAAGTAAATATCTGTTATCAAGTTTCAGAATGAGCCTGTCTTTATTACTGTGTGAAATCCGAAGAGATTAGATAGCACAAGCTCTTATGTGTTCCTTATGAAAATACATACTAAATTAGTCATGCTGGGAAAATAACCTATTCAGAAATCCAGTCTAGTCCAGATACCATTATATCTTTTTTTTCCCTTCTGTATAACCTGAAATAGAAAAGTGGAATTTTACCATTCGCATTATCGTAATTAAGGAAATGGA